CTTCAAAGGAAAGCTGTAACAGAAAAATGGCGGTCCTACACAAAGGAGGAAAAACTCTACCACATTTCTATAAACTGACATCTATACTGAAATTTTACTAAGAACTTGGATTACCATCAAAACAGAAAGTTAAACTCTTTCATGGAAGAGATAACGGTGTAATGAAGCCACACACTACTCTTCATGCTGCCCACTTTTGTCCAGGACAGTATGTGGACGTCACAGCCAAAATGTAGGTCCTCTTAGTGGGTTCTCCTTCACTTGCGTTTCCCCATCTATTAAGAACAGAGGGAGGGCTCAGCACCTGTAGCTCAGCCACATACACTGGAGTTGGTGGGTTTAAATCCAGCTCAGACCTGCCAAACAGTGACAACCAAAAAACAGCCAGGCGTTGTGGTGGGCACCTGTAGTGCCAGCTACTTGGGAGGCTGAGGCAAGAGAATCGCTTAAGCCCAAGAGTTTGGGGGTGCCGTGAGCTGTGATGCTATGGCACTCTACCCAGGGTGACAGCGTGAGACTCTGTCTCAAAAAAAAAAAAAAAAAGGAACAGAGTGAGTCAAGGAAGAACAGTCTTGTCAACTCAGTGAATAAAGGATAAAGGTCATTCTCTTTCTCCCCCAAGGGATATTTTATTTAAATATAAAATAGGAATAGGATATTTTAATAAATAAATGAAGATATTTAAAGAAAAATTTGTTGCCAGGTGTGGTAGCCCATGTCTGTAACTCCAGCATCTGGCAGGCCAGGACAGGAGGATCCCTTGAGCTCAGACATTTGAGACCAGCCTGGGCTAGACCCCATCTCTACTAAAAATAGAAAAATTAGCCATGTGTGGTGGCAGGTGCCTGTAGGAGGCTGAGACAAGAGGATCACTTAAGCCCAAGACTCCATATATATATATATATATGGAGTAAAGAAAAGTGTAGGCTCGGCGCCTGTGGCTGAAGCGGCTAAGGCGCCAGTCACATACACCTGAGCTGGAAGGTTCGAATCCAGCCTGGGCCCACCAAACAACAACGACAGCTGCAACCAAAAAATAGCCGGGTGTTGTGGTGGGCGCCTGTAGTCCCAGCTACTTGGGAGGCAGAGGCAGGAGAATCGCTTGAGCCCAGGAGATGGAGGTTGCTGTGAGCTGTGATGCTACGGCACTCTACTCAGGGTGACAGCTTGAGGCGCTGTCTCATAAAAAAGGAAAGAAAAGAAAAGTGTAGGTGGCATGTACATATGGAAGGAGTTATAAATGTGAGGAGAAACACTGAAGTTTGAGAAATGTTCATGATAAAAAAAAAAAGTGGACAATTAGTTAAAGCCATGAAAAAGATTATATTCAGTGACCACTGACAGTGGAGAGAGAGCTGAGCACTGTTCTGATTTGTACAGAGGTATCGGTATGTCTGGAAGGGAGAAGGAGGGAGAGCGAGAGAACGTGGGCACAAGTAAAAATCCTAAAGGTTGGTCAGTGTCAGTGGGATTGGACCAGCTTCATCTGCAAGCTGGCCATTGTCATAGTCAGGATTCTAGCCTCCCATAGACACTAGCAGACCAAGCCCAGATCAGGTCCTGGAGAAACATCCCCGAATTGTAGGAGATATGTATATATCTCAAAGAAACAGAGGTAGGATTGGCAATTGTAAGCCCTTTTTAGTAAAAGCTCTAAGAAAGGGAAATAGGGGTATAATGCCAGATGTTAGCTAGAACAAATAATACGCTCTCCTGGAGGGGTTGAGATTTCTCAGGCAGGCATTTTGATTTTTGGTTTGGGGTTTTTATCGTCTTTTTTTTAGACAGGCATTTTAATGGGGACCTGGGGTCATCCTAACTGCACTATCTTACGTGGCCAGAAGCCCTTGCTAGGTTAGTCATCTCTTAGTGCAGAAATTTGGGTGACGTTCTCAGAAACTCTGACCTTCCAAATTCTCCTCCTTCCCCAGGGGTCAACTCCACAACCTCTTCCCCAGGAGGCATTCCTTATCCAGCCTCCTCTTTGGCTAGATTAGGAATCAGAGCCTCTCAAAAATGTTTTTCATCTTTTCTTTCAATCAGAGTTATTTTGGAGGCAAGTAACAGAATCCTAAATCAAACTGGCTCAGCAAAAACAATGGGAAAGCGCAGACTAGCACAACACAAAATCTGAAGGCTTTGCATCCACCTCAGGCTCAACTCACAGATGATCTAGGTGGGAGGGAGGGTTGTTTGTTGGTTTTGAGACAGAGTCTCACTCTGTCACTCTGGATACAGTGCCATGGCATCATACTTCACAGCAACCTCAAACTCTTGGGCTCAAGTGATCTTCTTGCCTCAGCCTCCCAAGTAGTTGGGGCTACAGGTGCCTACCAAGACACCTGGCTATTTTTTCTGTTTTCAGTAGAGATAGGGTCTTGCTCTTGCTCAGGCTGGTCTCAAATTTACGAGCTCAAGCAATCCACCCGTTGACCACCTTGCCCGGTCAAATCTAGGTGTTTAAATGGTGTTGTCAGAAATCTCTCTTTGCATTTGCCAACTATGCTTTCTTGTGTGTCAAATTCATTCTTAGGCAGCCTCTCCGCTCATTGTAGAAAGATAGACTCTTCACTTAGGCTCCTTCAGCTCAGCAAACCTGGAAGAAGGAAAATGTTTTATTCCCCTAGAGTTCCAGTAAGAGTCCTAGGATTGCTCCCTCTTGGCCTGCTTTAGGGACAGTGCCTAGCTTTCAAGCAATCACTGTGGTCAGGTATGACATGCCCTAACTGGTCAGTCCTGAGCCCCTGGTCTCTTTAAAGCCAGGAAGACATTGATTTCTAGAAGGAAGTTCCAGTTACTATTACTGGCTAAGAGAGAGCAAGTGTTAGCTGAGCAGAAACCCCAGAGTCCTCACCCGCATGCTGGTTATTAATCACCTTGCAAATATTTGCTTATCTCTATCAGTGATCTCCTGGCCTGGCTAATCAGCCCAGCAGAGACAGACAAGTCATTAAAGAGGCAGTTTGGCTAATGCTAATAAATAATCAAGTCACCTGGTGATGACTGTAACTAGAGACTCATGGGTGAACCTTGGCCTTAGGTGGAAACTGGACCCTTCTGGAAGGAAAAAACATAAGCAAATATGAATCAGATAGATATGAGTTCAAATCCCAAGACTCATTTCACTCACTCGCTCATTCATTCATTAATTTGCTAATTTTTTTAAAATATAATTTATTGAACACCTATGATGTGCCAGGCACTGTTCTAGTCACTAGAGCAGTGGTTTTCTTTTCTTTTCTTTTCTTTTTGAGGCAGGGTCTCACTATGTCACCCTCAGTAGAGTGCTGTGGCATCACAGCTCACAGCAACCTCAAACTCTTGGGCTTAAACATCCTCTTGCCTTAGCCTCACAAGTAGCTGAGACTACATGTTCCTGCCACGACACCCAGCTATTTTTTGTTGCAGTTGTCATTGTTGTTTTAGCTGCCCTGAGCTGGGTTCAAACCCGCCATCCTCAGTGTATGTGGCCAGCGCCCCAACCACTGTGCTACAGTGTGTCACAAAAATTTTTAAATTAATTAAATAATTTTCCAAAGAAATTCAAAGCATAGTAAGTACATTCTTTCTTTTACTTTTTTTTCTTTTTAATCAACATAATTTAAGTGTTCTGGGGAAGTTTAACTACAGGTTCAAGTGTGCTGTGAGATTAAAAAAGGTTGAAAAAGGGCAGTGCTTGTAGCTCAAAGGAGCAGGGTGCTGACCGCATATGCTGGATGTGGTGGGTTCAAACCTCAGCCCCAGCCAAAAACTGCAAAAAAAAAAAAAAAAAGGTTGACAAATACTGCACTAGAGGGACATGGCCATGAACCAGACAAAATCCCTACCTTCCTGGACCTGACATTCTAGTTGAGGGGGTGGGAGTGAGGAGAGGGAGACAGATAATAAACAAGTACACCATCTAAGGTGGTGGCAAATGGTGTAATGACAGTAAAAGTGTGACTTGCCAGCAAGGAGCTGGGGGCCTGAGTTGCTGCAGACGTTAGGAAAGGCCTTTTTGAGGAGCTAATATGTGAATGGAGGCCAGAATGAGAAGCAGTCAGCCTTGAGAAGATTTGTGTAGGGCTGTAAGAAGAGGGAACAGCAAGTGCAAAGGCCCTGAGGTGGCTCCCTCCAAGAACTGACAGAAAGCCACTGTGATGTTAGGTGAATTAGCCCCTGGGCACCCCTGGAAGAAGAGTCCCATCCTCTCTACCCCTGGAAAATGCAAATTCAATTCAACAATTTTAAAAGGGCTGGCACTGTCCCTGGCATAGGTAAGTGTTGGATAAACACTAGCTAATAGTCCAAGCTATGTAATTATTAATTTGAGGAGGAAATAATGGGCCTGAAGAGTAAGATGAGAGAGAAAAAGGAGGCTTTTTGGCTTCTCCTTCCAGGTTCTACAGTTCAGGATATAATACAAACAGTCTTGATAAAGGGATTCTGAACATGATTCCAGGATATCCTGGATACCAGAAATAATAACTGGCATTAATTTAATAACTACTGTTATTCTTTGAGCAGGCACTGTTCTGGACACTCAGGTCCACGGTCCCCTCTTACACTGGGACACATGCTATTATTAACATCCCCATTTTACAAAGCTGCTAGTCACAGAGTCTGGGAGGGAAGCCAGGAGACCGGCAGGAGGCACAGGCCACTTCCTACCATATGACCTTTGGCCGCTCCTTGCCTAAGATTTGCAGGAAAAGGGGCTGGGAAATTCTGCCCCTCCCTTCACCTTCATTATCCTCCCTGCGGGGATTGTGTATTATGGGGGAGGAAAGATAAACTGCCAAGCCCCCTCTCCAGGACCCCTGCCCTAGCCTGCTTCCCACCACTAATCTTGCTCTAGCGAAGAATGCCAGCCTGGCTACGGCGGGAGCCGGGGACTCAGGCGGGGCAGGGATAGAGGAGGGGCCGAGGCGGGGTCAGGGCTGTACCCTTGACTGTGTAGATCTGCAAGATCTCACGTCATGACCGGGAGACTTGTGCACAGTCCCTGGACAGAACGCGGCATGGGGTGTCCTCTGCACGCCGGCACCAGCCACAGCCCTGCATGGAAGAAGCTGCTTGTAACAGGTGCGTTGAGAGACAGCGACTTCACCGCTAGTTAGGGAGAGGAGGCGACCTCACCACTGGTTAGGGAGAGGTGGGTGCACCCCCGGGGAGAGTCTCCATCCCCACTCAGAGCTCCTGAGCTCCTACTCTGGTCAGTTTCAAACCCAAGCAACACCGACACCATCCTCGCCAGAGCTCTTGACCCACCCACCCACCCCGACCCCACCAAGCGGAGGTGCCATTGGCTCCATTTACAAAGGAGGAAAGCGAGGGGCAGAGAGGGACGAAGTCACCTACCCAAGATAGCAGGACTAGAAAGGAGCAGAATCTGAATTTGGGACTCCAACCCAAGCCCATGCCATCAGAGCACCCTGTGTCACCCCAGCTATCCACGACCTAATAATAAGTAAAAATAACAACAATAAAATAATAGCAGCATTGTAATAGGAAGTTGTGACTGAATATGTTTACATGCCAGCCTAGTCCCAGTGCTTTCATGTTGTGACATGTAACTCTTATCACAATCTGATGAGGCAGGGGCTGTGTGATTCCCATTTCACAGTGGAGGAAACTGAGGCTCAGAGAGGTTATGTGCCCTCCACAGATCACACAGCTTTCAAGCAGCAGAATGACAATTCAAAGCCAGGTGGTCTGACTACCCAGACCACACTTTCCAGAGACTACACACATCCACCTCTCAGATAGCAAATGAATTGCCTCCTTTTCTAGGTCTTAAAAATCCCATATGAGTGATTTTAAAGCCCCAAACTCAACCAAGTTCAAAGCTCTGCTAAGTTCCTAGCTCAAGCCAGCAAGGGGAGTCTGTTTCCTATTTCCCTCTGTTTTTCCCCTCAGAGCTGTTGTTTGAGACCCCTCAGGGCCCTCTTGAGGGGAAGAAGGAAAGAAAATGAGGTGGGAAAGTTTCTACTTGGCTGCTATAGTTATGAGGTGGAGACAAAGCCTGCTGTGTGTTGCTGGATCTTTCAGGGGGTGGGAAGATATACTTTGGGGATTGGCTTTGCCACTGGATAAAATAGCAACCAGCTTTTAGAAAGTAACTTATGTCTTTGCACTTGGGAGTGGAGAGTTTGGCAGATTGTTTATAAAACATCAGAAGAAAATCAAGCAGCATACAAAGAAGGTACACATAATTTCAACTCTATAAACACAAAGTGCTGTCTTGATATAGTAATATCAAGTGGGGGAGGGGACAGAACTGGCTCAGCTGGGGAGGACAAAGGGAGATTTGACTTTAGGTAGTTCTAATTTTCTTCTAAGGAGAAGCATTTGTGTGATTAAAAATTCATTTTAGGCTCATTGCCTGTAGCTCAGTGGCTAGGGCATCAGCCACATACACCAGGGCTGGCAGGTTCGAACCCAGCCCGGGCCTGCCAAACAACAATGACCACTGCAACAACAACAAAGAAAATAGCCAGGTGTTGTGGCAGGCACCTGTAGTCCCAGCTACTTGTGAGGCTGAGGCAAGAGAACCGCTTAAGCCCAAGAGTTTGAGGTTGCTGTGAGCTGTGATGCCACGACACTCTACCGAGTACAACAAAGTGAGACTCTGTCTCAAGAAGTAAATAAATAAATAAATAAAAATTAAGGGAAAATCTCAAAGGAAATATGCCCCCCAAAATGGTTACCTTTAAGGAACAGAATTAAGGTCCTAAATTTTTGTTTTTGCTGTTTTTTTACTTTACTTTCCAAATTATTCTGTAATGAGGAGCATGGGTTGTTTTGTAATACTGTGTAAGACTAGCTGACTATAATTCTACTTTTTTGTAAAAGGAATAGAAACAATAAGAGGCAATATAAAGCTCGAAAAAGACAGTAAAAATTTCAAAGAGGTGATATTTCTCTCTAGGTGTCAAAGTATTATGCTATAAAATGTATTACTCTTATATTTTTAAAATATTTTTCTATCAACTTATAAATGAATAAACAAATGTGGTATATCATACAATGGGATATTTGGTGATTAAAAAGGGAATAAAGAAATGAACATGGTACAAGATGAGTGAACCCTGAAAACATTAAAAGTTAAAAAAGCCAGGCACAAAAGATCCACAGATTAAATAGTCCCATTTATAGGAAATGTCCAAAACAGGCAAATCTATAGAGCTAGAAAGTAGATTATTAGTTGTCTGGGGCTGGCAGGAGTTGGGGGATTAGGACATAGGGGTAATAGGTTCAGGGTTTTTTGGGGGGAGTGATGCAAATGTCCTAAAATTGATTGTGGTGATGGTTGCACAACTCTTGAGTGTACTAAAAGTCATTGAGTTATACTCTTTAAATAAGTAAATTGTTCACAGAGACTTTAAGGATTCTCACCACAAACACTAGTATGTGAAGTAATGCATGTTAATTAGCTCAATTTAGCCATTCCACAATGTATATACACATTTTGTTTTTTCTCCATTTTTGAAGGATAAGTATACATATTTTAAAATATTGTATTGTGCACCATAAATATGTACAATTTCTGTGTGTCCATTTTATTTATTTATTTATTTTAGAGACAGAGTCTCACTTTATCGCCCTCAGCAGAGTGCAGTGGCGTCACAGCTCACAGCAACCTCCAACTCCTGGGTTTAGGCTATTCTCTTGCTTCAGCCTCCCAAGTAGCTGGTACTACAGGCACCTGCCACAATGCCCAGCCATTTTTTGTGGCAGTTTGGCCGGGGCCAGGTTCAAACCCACCATCCTCGGTATATGGGGCTGGCACACTACCCACTGAGCACAGGTGCTGCCCTGTATCTGCCAATTTAAAATATTAATTTTTAAAAAGAAAAAGTAGAGGTAATGGTATAACTTATCAGAGTACCCAGAAGAAGTATTATCTCACACTAAAATTTATCCTTCACATTGGTTTTAAACCCATTACTATTTTGAAATAAAGTGGTGTGAAAATGGGGGGAATAAGTTAATTGGTATGTGAATTATACATCCATAAAGCTATAAATTATAATTACATATGTATATATGTGAGTGTATATGTGTATATATATATAGACATACAACAGTACAGGCCTCAGTTAAAGCCCTGGGAAGAAAGGCAGGGCGAGGAATGTCCCAAGACAGTGGCCAAGTGGAGAGTGAGGTCCTCACAATTTGCAGCCAAGGTGAGGGTGGTCTGGTTGCCCCAAAGACCAGGGCCTACTCACGGGGAATGGGAATGGGTACAGTTTGGGCAGGGGGACAGATGCTTTCAGTATGGGGCAAGCCAGAAGTGCTAATGTGTAAGTTAGACTATCCTCAGCCCTGAAAATCTCAGGTACTCTTATGAAATGGTATTATTATCCTCCCCCCTTGATGAATGGGGAAACTGAGGCTCAGAGCCCAGAAATAATAAGTGGGAGAGTCAGGGTGATGAACCCCAGTCTAGCAGCGTCCACATCTGCAAATAAAGCCATGTTTTTCATCAGCTGGAATAAGCATAGCTAAGAAGTGAGGGCTTCTGCTTAAGATGCCTTGGGGACACTCCCTGAATCAAGAGGCTCCTGCTGCTGTGTCAGAGTTAGAACACCATCCCCAGAGTGTGGACTGCGTGACCTGGGATCTTCTCCTTCTGTCATTTATTCAACAAACATTCCCCAAGTGTTCGCTCTGTACCCAGCCTGTGTGGGATGGGGCAGGGGACACAGCTTTGACCAAGACAGCCCCAGCCCCATCTTCCCAGGGCTTTCAGTCCAGTGGGGAAGACAGACCCATCCCCAGGCAGCAGTGGCCCTGAGCAGGTAGGACTGGAACCGTGCAGGGAGAAGGGCAACAGCCAGAAGAGAGGACTCAGATCTGAGGCTGAAGAGGTGGTGACCAGGGGAGGACCTCAGAAAGATAGGGCATCAGTTGTACACATTGTATCTCTATACTCTTTGTTCCACAAAAGTGCAAGAAAGCAATTTTTTCCCATCAGGTTAGAAAAGCAAAACCCTAAGCAAATACTTGAGTACAATACTTTATACCAGTCATTTTGCAGCAAGAACTTCCATCACTCCATTAAGTCATCAGAGGCTCCTGTTCAAACACTGTAGTATCTATTACCAAGAACACCTGAGGGGCAAAAAGTCTTTAGTAGAGGGGATGCCTGTGCAGAAGCTCAAATCACAAGAAATTAGAGTCAAGCGGAACAACACTGTACATAGCAAGAAGAGCATTGGCAAAGGCCCAGATGCAAGTTCAGTGTGATTGATATGGAGAATGATGGGAGAGTGGTGAAAGGAGCTTGGAGGGCAGCAGAGATGCCAAATGAAGGGATCTGCACTGTGTCTGTAGGGCACTGGGGAGCCACAGAAGGTTTCTGAGCAGGGAGTAGAAACTTCATGCCAGCTGCAGAGTCAGAGATAAAATCAATGGAAGTGGAGGAAGATGGGCAGTGAGCCCCCCACAGGGATACCTGCAACTCCCAGCTCTTCTTCTTTTTTCTTTTTTTGTAGAGACAGACTCTCATTCTATTACCCTCGGTAGAGTGCCATGGTGTCACACTGCTCACAGCAACCTCCAACTCCTGGGCTTAGGCGATTCTCTTGCCTCAGCCTCCTGAGTAGCTGAGACTTCAGGCACCCTCCACAACGCCCGGCTATTTTTTGGTTGCAGTTCGGCCAGGCCTGGGTTTGAACCCACTACCCTTGGTATATTGAGCCAGCGCCCTACCCACTAAACAACAGGCACCGCCCCTCCCAGCTCTTCTTTATGACCTTGAGTCTGAGACTGAAGCATGTTATGCCTCAGTTTCCCCACTTGTAAAACAGACTACTACCGATCTCAGGGTTGTGGAGGGGATCCCTGAAGCTGTAATTGGGAAAGGTTGGCACGTGGTGTCAGCTGATCATCTGAGCTCTGAGACCTCTCACATCCCCTCCAGGGCCCAGACAGAGCATTTGTATCTGATGGTGTGCCCCTGGGAGTGGTTACCACTAGCCACCATTTCTCGTTTGTCTATCAAGATGTTTTAACATTTATTCTGTAAGTGGATATTTCAGATCCTTAAAAGTAACCACCTATTACTTTGCATTTTTAAGAGCTCATTAAAAGATACCATCACAGTACACCCAGGACTTGCCAATGTGGAGCCAAGAAGGATGACAGTGGCCCAGCACGGGGCTCACACCTGTAATCCCACCATTCTGGGAGGCAGAGATGGGTGGATCCCTTGAGATCAGGAGTTCAAGACCAGCCTGAGCAAGAGTGAGACCCTGTCTCTAGTAAAAATAGAAAAATAGCCAGGTGCCAGGCTGGGCGCCTGTAGTCCCAGCTACTCGGGAAGCAGAGGCAGGAGGATGCTTTCAACCCAGCAGTTGGAGATTGCTGTGAGCTAGGCGGAAGCCATGGCACTCTAGCCTGAGGAAAAGAATAGAATAGAATAATGGTAATTATAATGTCAAGCATTTTGCCGCAGAGATTGCTTTAGTCACCATCTTGGTGTCAGTGGGTCTTAACCAGCTTCTCCACTGTATCCTCTTTTGTCAGAGACTTTGGTTTGGGTCTTATCAAGCAGGGCCTTCTGGCTCCGCATTTCAGTATGAAATTTTAATAACAGGAAATAAGAGGAACTAAGAGAGCAAGGGTTGGGTATGCTCAACAGTCCAGTTTAGAGGCTGAGAATTTTGACTGCCTGGGTGTGGATCACAGTTCTGTTTACCATCTATGACATCCTGGACAAATGTCTTAAATTCTTTGAGCCTCTTTTTCCTCATCTATAACTGGGGTATGATAGTCACGTCAGTCAGGGTTGAGGCAAGAAACAGATGGTCTGCTCTAAGGAAGCAGTGAGGAGAGTTTCAGACAGGGACTATTTGCCAAGGGGTAGGCAGGTATAAGTAGAACAATATGAAAGTGTGCAGCACCCAGGGGCTAGAAACTGCAGGGAACTGTTACCTCCTCCAGGCTAGAAGGTGCAAAAGAAAGAGCAGACCCCAGAACAGGTCACCCAACAGGAGCTAGAGGAGCACAGCCAAGCCTTGGTGACTGAGTGGGAGGGAATGGCGGGACTAATCACTAAGCTCACTGCCCTGCTGCCTTCCCGTCCCCACTGCCAACATCCCCACTGACAGAAGCCAACCAGCAGCAAAAGGCAAGGGAATCCCAACAATGCCACTCAGAGAAGTTGGCCTTTAAGGCAACAGAGCAGAGAAGAGTGGACAGCAGATATTTGCAACATCTAGCAAAATATGAATGTGTGATTTGTGGGGCAGATGTGAGGAATCAAGGAATTGGCACATATCCAGCACTTAGAACACTAGTGGGGGGGGGTGGTTAGGGCTGGTGACTCACACCTACAATCCCAGCACTCTGGGATCGCAGGATAGGAAGATTACTTGAAGTGAGAAATTCAAGATCAGCTTGGGTCTAAGCTATGATCAGCCCCTACATCCCAGACTGGGTGACAGAGCAGAACCCTGTCTAAAAAGAAAAAAAAAGATGGTAGCAAGCTTGCAGTAGGTGCTTAATGAATCAATGAATCTGCCCTGTTATTTTCTACTCTATTCTCATTAGCATTATTGTCACCATCACCTCTTTTTTTTTTATTAAATCATAGCTGTGTACATTAATGAAATTATGGGGTACAATGTGCTGGTTTTATAGACAATGTGAAATACTTCCATCAAACTAGTTAACATAGCCTTCACCACATTTTCTTAGTTATTATGTTAAGACATTTATATTCTACACTTAGTAGATTTAACTTGCACCCTTGTAAAATGCACCATAGGTGTGGTCCCATTAATTACCCTCCCTCCACACATCCTCCCCCCTCCCCTCCCTCTCCTC